TATAAGAGTAAAATAATGTCATCGTTTTTTATTCTATTGTTTTAAACATTTCAATGCACGGGGGACTAAAATTGATCCGTCTGCATTAGAATGTTTAAAATAATAGAATAGAAAAACGAAGACATTATTTTACTCTTATATATATTCATCTTCTGTCTATTTATTTGTGTTTGATAATGTTCTTAGTTAGAACGAAACGTCACACTGATTGATCTTAATAAATCAGTTGAAAAAAATGTTGAATAGCTTAGTTTCATTAATGATTTCATTTTAGAGCTTGTAGTTTTATTGAGTTCGTCGTCGATTGAAACTCTTACTCGAAAAAACTTTAATTTTTTATCTCTTATGCAATAAAAAGAATATAATGCTGAGTATATATTCCGTTTTCAGTATAAATCTTAAAAGAACAACTAGATGATAAATATGCGTAAGTCATAAAGATTACAGTAATCAAATAAAAAACTTAGCTGCTCTATTAACTTTTGTAGCAATAAATTACTTTTTATCTACGACAGATGACTGTTACAGAATGAGAAAAAAATAGTTTCAACAATGAATAAATTTTAGAAGTACGTCAATAGTGTTGCTGTTCAATATTTTCTTTTGATAAAATATACCAAAAAATTGACATCGTTTTATCTATGGTATTTTTCCCCTAGAATTTTTCGTTTGTCGTATCAATTCATTGATTCTTCTTAAAAATCTAAGTTTCACTATCACATACATATCTGATACTAATAAACTAATTTAGATTCTTCTTTCATTATTCATCGAGATTATCATAAAATACAACTTTGTAACTAATTATATATTTCTCCATAGGTATTAGCATAGACTAGACTTGAGAATTCGTAACGAAAACTTGAGAAGATTTCGATAGAATATTTATCAGATGTAAGACAAGCTCATCATCCTTGAGCGATCGACAAAATTTTAATTATCTACGGAGAGTATAGAAAAAAAAAATTTAAAAAACGATTGCTGTGTCAGAAGAAAGAGTGCAGTTAGGTTTTTGTAATATCTCAACATATTCTAATGAAAAGATTTCATTTTATTCTCAAGAAAACAGAAAAGTTCAATTTCTAAAAAGTCAAAATATTTATTTAAAGAAGTAAAAGTTCATGCATCTTTAAAACATAAGGCATGTGTAGAAGTCTTTTGAACAAATATCAATACGAAAAGAAAAGTTTGTAGAAGAGACTTCTATTCATATCTTATGTTTTATAGATGCATGAACTTTCATTTCTTTAAATAAATATTTTGAGTTGTTAGAAATTTAACTTCTTCTTTTTCGAAAACAAAATGAGACCTACTCATTGAAATGCATTGAGATATTGACAAAAAACGAACGTGTATTGTCCATCATCAAATTAATAAAATTAGATAAATGGTTAGGTTACATGTAAGACGAAGATGATTCTGGAATATTAAACTTCTTTTTCAAGTAAAGTATCATTTACGACAGATCAAATAAAGAAAAATTATGGTTTTAACGTCAACGAATCACTATTTATGACATTTACAATCCGACGTTTAAACGACAAGAACATAATATTACTTTATGACGTAGAAAATCGTTTTTTGTGATAAACGCGTAATTTGGTCAATATATCATCGTTTAAACGATGTGACATTAAACAGCGTTTCCTCAACTAGTTGGGTAGTGTTATATCAAGGAAATGCGTTTGACAAATTTCGGTCAACTTTGAGTTTGTCCTTCGTTAAAGATCGATTCAGCATTATGTGTGTGATAGCTCTACCTGCATAGCTAGCGAAACCTAAGTCGAGGAACTGCTAGACAACTTTAACTCATGTGAACAAGAGCTGGATGACCAGCTCCACCTCAGCAAACTAAACTGGAGCTGTCACAAATCTGCTTATCGGTGCTTCCATAGGATATCCCTTGAGGACCTATGGGTGCTTCCAGAAGATAGCCCTTGAAGACCTATGGGTATCTCCATTAGGTAGTCCTTCAGGACTTATTGGTAGCCTCATAGGTTCTAAACAGATCTTCAAAAGTTATAGATAGTCTATTAAGCTGGATCGATCAGTTCTATGAACTGATCTGTTCGAACAGATCTTTCACTTATTTGATCTAAACTTATGATCTGGAATTGTACAGCCCTACTTTAGATACTAAGAGATACGAAAGGAAATTTTTCGATAAGTTATAATAGTCTTGAGACTTGAATTCTTTTGTTTTACATCTTTATTTTTAAGAATACGCTTAAATAATGAAGATAAATATACGAAAATTGTGAATATTCTTGATTAATTATTATTCTAGACACATTTTCTACAAAATCAATTAGAATGGCGAGATGGGAAATTTCAGACCAATATGGTGGCATCACAGACACTATGAGAGTAAATATACTGAGTACAATAAGTACTTCAATTGATACACATGGAACATCAAACATGTATGCAATAGCCAAAGATGTTAAAGACTGGCTGGATGAAACTCATGGGCCATATTGGACTGTGATAGTTGGTGAAGACGGCAAATATCGTTCCGCTTTCACTTCTAATTCACAATTTTTGAGAGTCAAAGAAACAAGACTAGGATGGAGGATTGTAATTTTTAAACAAACGATGCCATAAAAAAAACATGAAAAGACTGATTATATTCATAAAATATGTATTAGAATGATTTTTGCTACACGATCGACAATGGCATGTTCTTATCTTTTACAATCGTTCGACAATAAATAAATACTAGAGGACCTTGTAAAAAGTTGGACTTTAATATCAGAGGAAAAATTGATTTCATATACATAAGAAAAAACTTCATCAAAAACTGAAAAAGAGCTTGTAAAATATCATATAGATATTGAGTAGCAATAAAAGAGACAAATAATATATGAAAAAAAGTTCTCCTCAATTTTTCGATCGATGTATCTTTGTAACCACTTAAGTAATTTCAACAGATAAATAGTCATTTTAAAGAATATTTAAAAGTTAGCAGTGGTCCTATTCAAAGATACTCGAATTTCCAAAAGAATTCTAGAATTTTCAGAAAATACTACGTATCAAGATAGGGAAATTGATGACTGCCAAAAAAAAAGATGCAGTCATCAAAATTCAGGAACTATCTGAATTGTAGGATTATAAAAAATGTCATACTTGAGATCTGAATTCAAACATTGAATATCTTTTATTTGAAGGTGAAATGTTCGGATCTTCGACAGATATTCACTTCGTTATATAATCAACTACGATATTCGGAATTCCAGATATTAATCGTTTAGAGATTTTGACATACTGAGAAACACACACTCAATGGAGGGTGTGGGTGTGGGTGTTCAGGCGGGTCATAATAACACCCACAGCCACACCCCACACCCACACTCACACTCCACATCCACACTCCACACCCACGCCTACACCACCCACACCCACACCCACACCCACACCTACACCCACACCACCCACACCCACCCTCACACCCACACCCACACCCACACTCACCCACACCCACCCTCACACCCACACCCAGCCACACCCACACCCACCCCATACCCCACACCCACACCCATGACTAAACGAATTGCACAACGTCCGAGTCACAAGCTAGTCAATAAATCGCGTAAGAGAAGTTTTTTCTCCATGCGCATGATGAGTCACTCGCATGAGTCAGGAGGGTGGATTTCTCCAGCCGGGAAATTTTTCTATTCTACAAAAGCGAAATGTGTAAAGACGAAAGAGGTGACTTGTGCTACTGCTTCAGAAAAGGTTATCATTGCCAAACAGTCGTCGATAAAGGTATATACTATCTTTGTTAACGTCAGGATCACACTGAACGACCGTAATTCTTTCGCCAATATCTTAGACAAGCAGCAAGTGGTTGCATCTATAGTTCGCTTGTCGTCAGAAGTACTCGATAGCAATATTTTTCAAATCATAGTTACTCCGTAGGTTATTAGATAGAAAAATAACGTTATCGTAATCCACTGAAACTACCCTCAGGATATCGTAGCTCTGTGAAAAGATATGACTAAAAGAGTAGACTTACAAAGAAAGCACTGAAGATGTCCCGCTCCGTCTTGATTCATTCATATGTCATTCGATAGAGAATATTGTGATAAGAAAAAGCCTAAAAGAGTTTGGATTCATGGCTTTTCCTGCCAGAGTTATAGTCATTTTTCTAATTTTTCCTCATAAAACTCGGAAAATTTGAAAAATTCGTAACTCAATCAGGATAGGTGGCGGAGCTTTGAAATTTGTATCAGTCATAGATCTGCTAGTCTAAATGTTGCTTTGAAAATTTCAGCTCTCTAAATTTCTCTATCACGAAGTTAAACGATTTTCTTTACCTAAGAAGAAAACGCTAATAGTTGCTTCCGCGATATGTCTCTTTCAACCAGCATTTGTTAAGTAAAGAAAATCGTTTAACTTAGTGATAGAAGAAGCTAGAGAGCTGAAATTTTCAGAACAACATTTAGACTAACACTTCTGTTACTGGTACAAATTCCAGAGCTCTACTACTTATCCTGACTAAGTTATGAATTTCCAAACTATTCAGGTTTTATGAGAGAAAATTACAAAAATGACTATAACTCTGGCAGGAAGAACCATGGGTCCGAACTCTTTTAGGCTTTTTCTTATCTCAATATTCTCTATCGAATGAGGTATAAATGAATCAAAACAGAGCTAGACATCTTCGTTACGTCCATTATTAGTTGCATGAAGGAGTCACTTCAAATATTCGATGGGTCTTCTTTCAAAAGTAGTTTTAATTGAAAGGCCCGTTGGAGAAAAATAACACTCTAGAGTGATTTAATTTTCTGAATAGTTTTCCATTAAAAAAATCTTCTATACAAATGTTTTTCCACGATCAATTTCAGTTTCCATTGTTGTTCATCTACACGGTATGGATTTTTCACTGGGATTCGATAATCCATTATCACATCAGGTCGATTATCATTGATTTCAATTTTCTTATTTTTCTATATCATTTCTTGTCTTGTGTTTTATAGAATCAGGAACAAAGATCTCCAATGTCACTACCTCCTTCATTGTCATCGCCATCTCCTTTGACAAATCCGATAATTGTTCCTTCGAGAGTGGAAATTCGTACGTTGACAACTAATGATGTCAGATCACCACAACAAATTTTGCATCAATATCATCGAACAGTACCAAGGCAAACGGTTAGTCAAGAAGTGGGTACATCCTTTTCAGTCCTTTCACACAGTCAACAACAACCGCAAACACCAATCACAGTTTCTATGACGCCCGTGACTCCACGCAATACCGATGTTCTTGATTTAAAACCAAGTCTCCAGTAAATCCTGATGTTTAGAACATTTTTCCATATCAAGCTTGAATTGTTTTATTTATTATTTTTGTGTTTCTGAAGAAATATCGTAGCAACGGCGAATCTCGGCTGTGAATTGGACCTGAAACGTATCACTTCACAAGCACGCAATGCTGAATATAATCCAAAACGTTTTGCCGCTGTTATTATGCGCATTCGCAACCCACGTACTACTGCATTGATCTTTAAATCTGGTAAAATAGTTTGTACGGGTGCAAAAAGGTATTGAGATTTCTACTCATATCTTGATGAGTATGAATCGACCTTTTGTTTCAGTGAAGAAGCTGCATCACAAGCAGCGCGCCGTTTTGCACGAGTCATTCAAAAACTTAACTTTTCGGTATGATAAACTTTGAAAAAAACGATTTTAGTCGTCTGTTTTCAAGGTCAAATTTGGTGATTTCAAAATACAAAACATCGTCGGCAGTGCTGATCTCAAATTTAAAATTCGACTCGGAGCACTTCAAGTGGCGCATATGAATTTTTGCCGGTAAATTTTTCTAGCGACTTTAGTTTTTTCGTATTCATTCTTTTAGTTATGAGCCGGAAATCTTCCCAGGTCTCATCTATCAAATGAAGGAACTAAAAATGGCTTTACTCATATTCGCATCAGGCAAAGTTGTACTCACTGGTAAAATGAATAGAAAAGGTTTTTTATGAAAGTTACATTTATCCTTTCGTTTTAGGTGCAAAAACTCGTGAAAGCATTTACAAAGCATTTGAAAAAATCTTTCCGATTCTACGTCAATTTCAACAGCCAGGAGCCTAGCCAAGGAAGGGCATAGGAGCGTTCCCTCCCGCCTTAGAAAAAAGATTACCTGGAAGGGAGTACGGGAAAAACAATTTTGTGCTGGCAAAACCGATGTTTTTACCATTAGGGGTGGTACTTTACTTTTACTTTATAAAATAAAGATAAATGAATCCTTTACTCTTAAAAAATAAAGATAAATGGATCCTTTATTTTTAAAAAATAAAGATAAATGGATCCTTTACTCTTAAAAAATAAAGATAAATGATCATTTATTTTTAAAAAATAAATGTAAATGAATCATTTATTTTTAAAAAATAAAAGAAAAATAAAGGAATAAATGATAATTTTTACGACAACAGATAATGTAATTGGAAGAGCACTAGAATCATGAAATAAATCTGCAGAGAGATTATTACGATATAAAAATGTAAATTTGATTTAAAATACGTTTCCTAAGATGAAATTCAAAAATAATAGAAATGAAAGCTTTATTTCTGATTTTTTAGGGTACTAAGAAAGAGGAAAAGCTTCTTGTAACATTCTAATGTGATCTAAAGCTTTCTATGAATTCAGACATCTTTGTCAAGCTTCATTTCAGAATCATAGAATGTCTCCATCAGATCGATTATCACTCAATCTTCATATTTCTAAATATAATTCCTTCATAATTTTGATTTTCACTTCTAATTATCTACAACCTTACCCAATATACTCTGTAT